GGTGTGTTTGTTTATGACACCCCCCCCCCCCGATAACAATATAACAACAATAATCAGTACTGGTAATCCAACAGAGTACAGGAATAATTTAAAAAGATGGGGAGTGAAAGAAACAGCACACTGAGACTTGAAAATACTGCATAGTACAAATGGCCCATGGCTGTTCGTCCTTTGTATGTCCTGTTCGGGGCAGTACCGAGGGCCGACATGAGACAGACTCATCAGTTTGTCCATGAGCAAGAAAAAGACAAATCCGCCCCAGGAGACCCCAAAAAAAAGATGAGTCAGTACCTTGGTCCTGCGTCAGGTGATCCAGTGACAAAGCACCGTCTGACCAGGAAGGCCAACGTCTACATGGTGCGTGTTATTCAGGTTCGCTGCTATTTGTCGTCTTGTCCCACTCTATGCTCTCCTCACTGGGCGTAGGAGACGGCAAGGCGCCGGCTGCCCCCCCAGGACGCATCCTGAGCCCCTGGAAGCGTCTGCACTCGGGGCAAATGCGGATGTGGCTGCAGCCTCTGGCCACCAACGCGGCTTCCTGAGCCAGTCTGTGGGAAAGCGGCTCGGGCAGTCCCGTGCCTGTACACAGCTTGCCGTTGGCGAGGCCCACGGTGGCTGCTCGCGCCCGGCGCTCTTCCTGAGGGAGGGGTGGCGGCCGCGTGACCGGCGACGTCCGGCGGCGTCTCACCTGCAGGCTGTCGTGACACAGGATGATGCCCTGAAGCTCGCGCAGCATCTCCTCGCACACCGACTGCTGGAACGCACCCAAGGGAAGAGGCAAATAAGCAATAAATAGATCAGTGAGTGAAAATGCAAGATAATGTCCCTCGAGGACAGGAGTTGCCCAGCCTTGATCTAACGGGTTTTATGAAATGCCTTTTCAGTATGATGTGGGTTTGCATACGAACATCATTGTTAATATTTTTTAAAATCGGATTTAAAAAGTGAACGGTTAACGGTTCAATACCGAGATGACTGAAAACTTCTTTTTCAGATTTTAGTGCGTTCAAGACAAATTAAAAATACACAAAAGCATGACTTTCGTGGGATTGTAAAAATTCACAAAACTCCCACCCCCGGGAGTTAAATCATAGGGATTAAAACCCGGGGTGGGGGGGAAGTTGAGGTTTAAAGCCCCTCTAAAATGAAACTAACCACTGTATGTTTTCTAAATTTGACACACCACAAGGAAAAGTGATCGTTACAACCCGACCATATTTGAATGATTTAAAAATTCTAAGTGTATACAATGAGGCTTTAAATTCAAGAAAAATCATGCTGGTGTGGGCTGATCTGTTGACTGCATGAAACAACGTCCCGCTGAAAAATCGTTACTACTCTGAATACCCATTGTAGGTAATGTCAATGCAGCAAAGCTTTTTTTTTGGAACCGACTCAGTGGTTCTCCTTCTACTTTATTTTGACGGTTGTCTCTGTGTTTCTCAGTTTTGCCATTCAATGTGTGTTGATGAGGTGCAAATTGCAAATCTTGACCCACAAACTACCATGTGAAACGGCTTATTTCGAGCCTCATTCCATGAAACATACATGTACAAATCGTGAGGTGAAAAACTGATCTATCTTGTTCAAAAAGAAGGACTCAAAAGTCTGCGTTTGACTTTCACATACTGCGTGTTTATTGAAGTAAAGTCACAGTGTCGAGTCCATTTGGAAAAAAAAAGACAGTCATCGAGTATCATTTGAAAGGCATGACATCAGAAATACCGGTCGGCTGAACAAACGGCTTTGCACATCTCGCTGAGACGAATCGAACAGATCAGCTCAGCGTTTGTACCGTTTGTGTCGAAGAAGGCAAACCGATAGCTGTTAGAATGTTTCAATTTGAGACGAGGCTACATTCAACTGACACCCTGATTAACTCCACAATATTAGTGTATAGCAGCTAGGAATAAACACTCGATATAGAACGTCTTCTATACTATGAAATAACCTCCGTATAAGTTGCATCGCTGGCCCGACGACGTGCACACAGTGGAGGGCGTTGAATAGGCCTGCTTGGATTTCGAGGTTGATCATGACGTACGTCATTGATGAATAGGCTATGACTGCCAGCACCATAAATGCACTAAGAGATCTGACTGCATTCAGTATGACATACTTGAAACATTTTACTGTATATTTAAGACTCTTCAGCAATACATCCATATATATATATGTGTAGACCACGGTGAGGTAAATCTTTGGTTTTGTGCTCATTGCGTCTGGAAGCAGATGCTGACTACGGGTCAGACCTGTTCAGTGTGACGGGAGTCTGGCAGCCCCGTGGTGGGGGCGCGGGCGCCAAGGTGGATACAGCGATACGAAGCAGATGCAGGTTACATAGGCCTCTCTCACCTCGCTTCCTGGCGCGTGCCTCAACATCCACACAAACTCCAGCACCGCCATGAAGATGGCCACAAGTAGGCCACACACCAGCACCACGAAGATGCCGCCGATGTTCTCCATGCCCAGACCTGCGGGAGAGGAGCAGGGAGTAAAATTGGAAGGTCAATGAAATGTATCATTGGAGCAAAATGATAAACAAGACAAGAACCTTTGGCCCGGTGGTCCTCTTCCTTTGGACACTTGCCGCCATCCCACCATTTCCTCTTCAGGATTTCCAAGCGATTGTCCTCCTGAAGCTTGAGGATGGCCAGGTCAAATTCATCGCGGTATACAGAGCCTGCAGTCAAAAATTAGGCAAAGCTCTCACACATTCAGACATACAAATGTATATAGGGATACAGTACCTTGGTTTTTCACCGTGACGCCATCAGCATTATAACAGTTTGGCATTTTTAATTGCAGTTAGTTTTTATTTTCTTTGGCTTTTTTTTTTTTTTTTTTTTAATTTTTGATCCCAAATCCCTGATTTGGGATCAGGTATGTTCATTTTTCTTTTTTCAAAAAATGTTTAATTTTAGTTCAGTTTTTATTAGTTTTAATTTTAAGAAATTGAGTATTTGTCAAGTGTAAGTTAAAAAAAGGTGACTAAGTATTCTGCAATAAAGTATCTTGGAGTGGCAAGAAACACCTTTTGAAAAGAACTGTTCACTTTCTGCCAAAGTGCTGCTAGTTGAGAGGTGAGTTGAGTTCTCTGCCACCATCGAGCACCCGCTCGCAAGTCGACGCAATAAAACGAACGACGGCTGATATCCGGAAAAACTCAAGGCACCACTTTACCTTAAAATCAAATGCAACTTCAATTAAATAAGGTTTTGCCGAAGCGCATTTCAATTATCCAGTAGGTGGATATTTTTGGGACACAGAGTCACAGCGTGCACGGTAAATATTGGGCTCATCCATCCTTGAGACAAATTTAAATAACTCCCGTTTACTTTTAAGGTGTTTTTCCCCTCCATTGACACCTCCACTCAACATGTGATCAAAGCAGAAGCAACAGCAAGATATTTGAGTCTCTGAGCAAGCAGCGAGTCACGTCTCACCATGGAGCCAAATTTCAAATTCTCTTATCTTGCCTTCTCCCATCAGAGTATGGAAAGAGACACTCTATTAAAGCATGTTTGAGTTTCTCTCTCTCTCTTTTTTTTTTTTGCATCATCTCACCTCCCTCATCACAGCTACTAATAGTTTGCCTTTGCTCAGGCGCTACTTTTCAATATAACTTTTGACGACAAATCCTCCAACTACTTCTCTTGCTTTTCAAAGTTATGTTCACAGTCTCGCAATAAATTGAAGAAATATCTGATGAATTTATTTGACACAGAAATCTTATTCCCTCCCGTCTCCCCTACTCACCCAGCGGCATTCCGATACCGTAGCCCTTGGTGTCGAGCAGCCCACCGATCTGCGTCAGGTTGCAGTTCCTTTGGCGATAGTACTCGTTCATGGTGCTCTCCAGCAGGTAGGCGTAGTTGGAATTAAGTACGCGAGCGATGCCCTCCTCCGTGCTCTTCACAAACACGCTGGGTTGCTTGGAGTGCATGAAGTTCCACATTCGTTGGTACGTCTGGTAGCGGGAGTTCTGCACAGCCGTGACAGACACAATCATTAGCAGAAACATTTTGCCAGAGATGAAGACCAAGTGTACTTGTTGGATTTGTTATGCATTGGCTGCAGATATTTACGCACGGAATCCAGGCCTTATTTTTATTTGAATCTCAAACATGTGGCTTAACATAGCCCCGATCTCAAATGTGATGACATTTTTCTTCATCCTTTTTTAAAATTTCATTTGCTTTAAGCTGGCCGTAGTGGACGTTGTTATTTTGGTGAAAAAACATTTATCGAACAGTTTGGGTGCATTCCAGGTGCAATGATTGCTGCGTTTCTTCTTCCTCAGTCGGGAACTAATTCAGTGATTCATTTATCTTTTGTAATTAAATAAATCACTTTGAAATGATACTTGTTTTTTTCTGACAGTCATCAATTGTTTCAATGCAATTGCACAATGGAGAGTGGTGAGCATTTCTGCATCACAGTCGAGGGATTCAACTTTAACTCTGGCCCTACTGTGTGGTATTTACTTGTTCTTCCCTCCCTCTTATGTTTTCATAGTAACAATATAACATGTGCATCTCCTTGTGGCATCTTGCTGCCAAGAAACTATGTTGGAGTGAGTTAAGTTACGGCACACCAAAGCTACAATAGTGGCTGCGGTTGCGTTATGCATCCACTAGATGGAACTATTCTAAAGGGAATACAATAAAATATATTTATATAGAGCTTTCACAACCGCTGCAGCTGTAACAAAGCGTTTTACCGGTCTCATTTAAAATACTACGTCCAAGAAATCAGAATATTGATCCATATATAAGGCGCATCGGATTAGAAGGCGCACTGTCGGCTTTTGAGAAAAGTGAATGCTTTCAGGTACGCTTTATACTTGCAGCTTTTTGCAGGAGTAACTCCCTATCCACAGTGAATAGCAGGGGGAAGCCTTTGATTTAATAAAAGTTATTGTACAATGTTTTATCATGACAGTTGAATGACCGTGGAAGAGATCAGTTCTACTTTATTACCATTGCTTTCTCTGTGAAATATTCGGACCGACTTGAGTTCAAGTGACTTCTTCCAGCGGAAGTAACACATTCGGTGCACATTGTGTTACTTTATGGGCAAGTTCTCTTTCCTCTGCTCTTCTCGCAGAACACATTCTTCACGTTAACATTCGAACTTGCCCTCCTCTTTCTTTGAGCTTGTCTGCGCCGACATAATTAACAGTCCGGTGGGCTATAAAGCACACAGGGATGTAGCCACCAGGCCAATGTATATTATTCATTCGCTCCATATCATTCTTCTCTGCCTCGCTTCCCCTGTCACATACTCTTTCTCTATTTCCCACAGTGTTTGTTTTTTCCAAAGGTCACGGTGGGTGCTTCACTTGTGACTTGCATCTTGGCTCCTGAGGATAAAGCTATTGAGTGGTTATGGTCAAGGAGGCAGGAAACATGTGATTAGCGCACGACTGGAAGGTGAGCAGGGGGATAACATCCCCGATGACCCATTGATTGAGGCCTCTTCTGTCAGACTGCATGTGTTTCATAGTGACTGAGCACCTAAACAATCTATCAAAAGCAATGATGTGCGTGAGCCCTGACCTGGAAGAAGGTCATGGTGGAGCCGCCGTGCATGGTACCATACTCGATCGTTGTCTGATCCGCCAGGTCATCGACTGACTCAATGGGCACCTCCATCCTCTGAACGGTAAGGAAGGCGGCCAGGTTGGCAGTGTACGACGAGATGATGATTAATGTGAACGCCCACCTACGCATGGGAGACGAGAGCATATCAAAGTTTTGATGCAAATGAGGAGACAGTTGTATGGAGAGCGAGGGAGAGCCAGGAGCTTTACAATGAAGGGACACCTGACACGATAGGACGTTGCAGCGTGTTCATGAGGAGGGAATGGGTGAACGTAATAATGTGATAAAGGTCTTGTATTTGGTTTGCATTCAGTTGTTTCACGCTGATTGTTGTTCCGTCGCTTATTTATTCGAGGTGGCCCAATGACATTGGGCAAAGTGGCTGCTCATGAAAATTCGGCCAACCTGCATACATTTATATCCCTATAATCCTGATGAATGTACGCAGCCCCATTATTTTTTTAGAAAAGGTTTATGCCCTGACATGACATTTCAAGTTACACTCGCCACGCGGAAGCTTCAGAATAATTTATTGCCTATGGCCTGCAAGTATTTTCTATACAATTATTTGCCATCGTTATAACTTGACTCTACAACACATATTTCCAAATATTTACATTCCTAGGCCCACCAAAAGCTGTTGAAATGAACCCATTTCCTTGAAACTCGGTGCAGGAGCGCAAGAAACCTGCAGGGCAACCGAACGAATTAAACCAGACAAATGAATCAAGCTGACAAGATGACAGACCAGCAACTATGATGTGTGCACCACACTGACCACACTCCGCTGACACAGCGCGTGGACAGTGCTCTGGGGGCAATGGTGGACCCTTGCTGCATGAAGCCCCCGACAGGGAACCACAAGCTGTTTCCAAGGGAGTACTGATTGATGAGTAGGTTGCAGCGTCCTTTCAGGCAGGGGTGCGGGTTGTACCACTCGTACGGTGTCAATCTGTGAAGAACAAGACATGCTAGAGTGTACTGAGCTCGAGGCAACCAGTCTGAGAGGGAATACGAGTGAGTTCGGGTATTGGCATTAACATAAAAAACAGGTAAAACAGAGGAGAGGGAGTTAAATCCAACAGTTACAAAGTCTTTTGGTTGCCTCCAGAGTGTCTGCTAACTTCTTATTCTCATGTGCTGCCTACTTTAATATTAAACTAAAGTTTGTAACACATGAAACAGTGCTGTTCAGGAAAGTTAACTTCCTGCAGTTGATATCAAGCATGAAGATCAGCTAGAAATAATGCAAGATTTTCAGTATGAATTTCGTCTTTTCGTCATTTTAAGCAGACTTAGTCTTGTAGCATAATCTTTGAAAAACAATTAAATTTTATACAGTGCCAAGAATACGACACACTACTTGGACTAGTAAGTAGTTTAACCATTTTTCAGACTATACGTAGCATACATTTTGTAGGCCCAGCTACAAATCGAGTGACATGGCTGAAACCGACTGAACTGTCGCACCATGTGCGGGTTTTGGCAACAGCTCGTCATGACTGGCTGACCGTCGACCACTTCAAATTTCAATCACCAGTGGACACAGTTGCAATGTTGCAGATGTAACAACTAATCAAATAAACACATAAGATTTCATAAAAACAAAGAAAAGATTCTGGTTTTGAAGCTTCAGTGAGGCTCATCCGGCCAGTGTAGCTAGAAATCAAAGTGGGGAGAGTCTTTGCCCATGAAAGGACTCTCGCCTGTTGGCATTCCACTTCTTCATTGATATTTGTGCCATGCTTTTTTTGTTTGGTTTGAAAAAAAAAAAAACGTTCTATTGTAAATGTATGTGGAGTTTAATCGCCTGGTGTTTGAAAAAATGTTTCTTACTAGTAAACTGGAGCCAATCCCTTGCTAACTTTCGGCAAGATACAGTGCAAACCACGGACTGGTTTCCAGCCAATCACAGGACACAGTGAGTCTTCTATGAACTTAACGCGCAATAAAAAAAACAAAAAACGTTGGTGGGAGGAAGGCCAAGTACTCAGAGGAATCTCCACAAGCTCGGCAAGAACATGGAAACTCCACATGGGCAAGCTGGAGCCAAGATTTGAACCCAGAACCTCAGTCGTAAATCAAGACATGCTAATCACACTCTAGCGAGTAACAATGCACCTTGAAATTAACACAGACAAGACAGAGTGGCCCCAGGAAACTTGGAGACATTAACATCGACAGCTGTTCCAGGCACCCTTCTCTTGAAGTCTGCAACTTCACTATTTTTCTGGACTTCAACCTATTGTTCCAATCCAACATCAAATTCACCACTAAGTCAGCCTCCTTTCACCTTAAAAGACATGGTTAGACTCCGCCCATCACTTATTGGGCTCACTAATGTGCCACGGCACAGTGTTTGGGAATACTGTACAATGGAAAATGGATGAATGAATGGATTTTATTCCATTGCTTTGTTTGGAGTTTCAGTTCTCTATTTGACCACCAAGTGTCAGTGTTACGCTGAAGACGCAGCCCGGGCAAGGGCCCATCCCTTCTACTTGTGTTGGATATGATCACCTGCAGAGATTGCGTGAAGTGGATAACAACAGGTGTCTTCGCCCCCATAGAACTAACCACACAAACCCTATTCTGCTCTCTGGTCTCTTTTGTTTCCTTTTTGCCCCAGTAGTCTTTTCTCACCTCAACTTCACACGCAGCGGAAGCTTTTCAGCAATCTCCAAAGAAACCACAGATCCTTTATTTTATTTGACAAAGGCCTGCTGGGACAACCAAGTAAGTAGCTTCAATGATGATTGCAGCTTTCTTGTCTTCGGCATCAGACAAAAAGACTTACTTTATCTATCCATCCATTGTCAACACCGCTTATCCTGAATAGGGTCGCGGGGAGTTGCTGGAGCCTATCCCAGCTGACTTCGAGCGGAAGACAGACTACACCCTAAACTGTTCGCCAGTCAGTCGCAGGGCACGCATAGAGACAAACGACCATTCACACCCACATTCACTGAGTGGGAACCTATCCCACGCTGCCCGCACACAAGTCTGGCGACTCCTTACGTGATCTAAATTTCTTTAAAGACAGACTTACATTTCACCTAAGTTGATTTGAAAATAGATGTGGTGGATATTGAGACAAAGCAAAAACACTGTAAATAATTGTAAGAAATTGTTGAATTCGGAAAAGGTCTGCTGTGTCTGTGTGCGTGGGCGTGTGCCTTTGTCTACCTGGCCACCAGGAAAAGCACGCAGCTCACGGCCAAGTAGGCCAACAACATGAAGAGCCACACGCCTGGGGAGAACGGGTCCAGGAAGGAGAAGTAGCCTGGACGCCGACCCTGTAACACACAGAAACGTGTTTACAAGTGTTCAACTTTTGACCATGTTACAATCAATCACAGAATCCATCCCGACCAGGGCGTTCAAAGCGGGAGGGTTGAGACTTTTAAAATGCCTCCTCTTTAAAAGGTCAATGAGATTAATTAGTGGCCAAAGTTGCACGTTGAATCCACAGTCCCACAGGCTGAGTTGACTGTGAGTTAATCAACATTTGCAGCTGTCTGCAACAGTGCGGCAGTAAACAATGCTTGTTGGGTGTGATAAGTATAGATTTCCCTGTTGTAAACTGATAGCATTACAATAATATGCTCTTGTTTGCACGTAAACATTCAGATCAACAGTCATAAAGCAGGTCTCCCACGGACAGTAAATACTACAGCGTGGTGGTGGTGAATCGTGAGACAACATGACAAATAAGACTTTCTATTCCCCAGGATCAAGCTGTAAAAAAAAAAGAATTTTCACAATTTATGTCAAGTTCTAAACAACACAATATAGTAAAAGACATGACTCAATTACTGGAGGGGGGAAAACAACTCAAAACAGTATAATCAAAGCAACAGGGGGCGAATTTCATTTAACATTAAGCACACAAGGGTAATAAAAAGGACATCTAATAGAGCCGCTTTTAAAAATAAATACATTCTTTTACCACCCAACCTGAAACTAACAATATAATACAGTCATGCAGACGGAAATGAAGAAGAGATTCACAACTACTGTAAGTGATTCTGTAAGCTGCAGTAATAATACTCATTCTTCACAAAGTATGAATAATACATGCACGTGCGCATTGTTGTATTGTTTGTCAGTGTGTGTTGACTACACCGAATGAGTTAAAATATCCATTGTTTAATGCGCTACAAGACCGCCACATAGATGCTACTTGTTAGCATGCATGTGGCGTTTTGTATTGTTTTAACTGGGAGTAGCAATTAACAGCTTGAAGTCTCGTTTTGGCTATCCACCCAACTGCTGCTTCTCGTAAAGTTGAAAATGAGTTCATGGCCACACTCGGTGATTTTTTTTTCTTTCTTTTGTCCTCATGATTCACAGAGGCCGAATAAAAAAACAAAAAAAACAAACCTAATTGACAGAGCATGGGGTAAAAAGCAAAAAATATCTCTTCAGATGTAGGCAGTTTACATTAAAAGTCGTCAAAAGTAAATACTCAACAAAGCACAGATACCTACAAAAAAAAAAACAAAACATGAGCACAGTAACAAAGCATTTCTACATCATCTCTTCCCCTTACTGTTAGTAAGTAATAGACCAGAGAGAATACAGTGCTTCAGTATTTATCAGCAACAGCCACTGTCCTCTAAATGGAAGCAATTACGAGTGAAGCAGTGCCACAGCGATGCGTACACTTATACTGTATGTGTGTGCTGTGTGTGCGTTTGCGCATGTGTGTGGCGCAGACATTCGGAATAGGATCCACTTCCACAAAGATATGCCATCTTTGTGACCGTGAAAGGGTCAAAAGGACAGTGAAACAGTGGAGGCGAGCACATGACCAATTGTTCCGTTGGCAACAATGGAATCATGTATCCAGCTCTTCAGTTACCATTTCATCAGCCCCACAAAAATCAGTCCAACTCTGAATTGTCAATGATAACGTCTCCGGGGATGCGGTTGCATGCGAGGATGCCTCGCTAATATGTTGCTTAGCCCCGAGCAAAATGAAATTTGCGGCACATCGGTGGAATCGTTTGGTTGAGAATTTGTCAGGACCAACGAAGCCTATTTAAAGCTGCGCTGAGATGAGCATTCATTGATGCAGTAGGCTGGCAGTGCAAAAGAGGAGAGAATGGACGGTTTGGAGGCATGATGAGAATTTAACACTCATGATGATGAAAACTTGGTGCTGTTGTGACTGCGCTAATGGGCCTTTGTGCTGACACGCCTCCTCTACTTCTTCTTTGCTGGTGGAGACCGGCTGCGTGCTGAAGCAGCATTCTGTTAAGTGCCAAGCCCTCTTCTCCGCATTTTAAGTTCCACCTAGGTGCCATTAGAAAGATGAAGAGAACTGCAGAGATGCTCCGGATGGTGGCTCAAAGATCCAAAATCGAGACTGAAAGCACGTGGCTTGCAATAATTTAAAAAAAAAAAAAAAAAAAGTCGAAATAGCATTGAGTTATGCTGCAGATCTCTGTGCTTTAATATGTTTGTATTGAGACAAAATTATGCTTTCAAGAGCTGCAGGGCAAATAATCTGCGAGAAGGCTGCAGCAGGTACACGATTTTGCAAATGGAACTGCATAAAAAGAATCCACATTTCCATTTTATTTCTGTTCAATCTGTCTCCTTTCAAAATATAAAAGAAATCTTATTATGCCTGTTAGCTATTTTTTGTCTTTGTAGAGCATGAATCTTAAAACAAAATCCATCAGTGGTAGATAAATAGCGGTGCCTTGATTTACTAGTTTTATTGCCTTTGTGCCAAAATGCTTTTCTCAAAACACTTCTTCTCAAACTGTTGGGGTGGTTCTGTTTGTGACACATTGTGCGCCTTGGCCACACACAAGGGGGCAGTATTATGAACATTCTTTTTGTTATTTTTATTATTTTTGATACATGGGAGGAAGTCAGAGCACCTGGAGAAAACCGACACAAGAATGGGAGGAAATGCAAACCCCACCTGGGAAGGCTGAAGCCGAGATTCAAACACCAAATCTCAAAATATGAGGAAGGTAACACGGTAAAACATAATTGGCGTGACAGTGGCCGCCATCTTGTGGCAGTTTTACGATTGCGAACTACAAATGTGAAATTAGATAGATCGAAAGTTGACATTAATTCCATGTAATTTTAAGGAAAAAAAAAAATCTATCAAAGTTTTTTTTTGGGGGGGGTGTGGGGGGGATTATATGTATCAAAAGTACTGGTGGTATCGGTACTTGGTATCGGTGACTACTCAAGGTTTATTACTGGTATTGGCCTGGAAAAAAAGGTGGTATCGAACATCTCTACTTATTTCCATATTCTGCAAGGTCAAAATAGCACCAGGTGCGATGAGATTAATCACTCCCCAACAGCGGAGGAGACTGCGTGTGGCATGCGCCTGTAATTGAGGATCGAGTGCCACTAAAAGGTTCGCACACTTTTGAATAATAACTTGTAAGCAAATATTGAATGTATTTCAGACAGTCACAAGTGCTTTCCAGTAAATGTTTGGCCTGTGCTGCTTCGGCGCGTTCCCTGTATTTGTGGGAAAGTGTTTGTTTGTTTGTTTGTTTGTGCAGGACAGACAGTGAGACCACTGCGCTGTGTTTGTGTTTGCGTGTCGACACTTTGGAGCTTGTCAGGAGCTGTTTGTGCTGTCATCCATTGGCAATGTGGGTTTGGGCACTCCACTGTATGCGTTTCTGGTCGTTGAGGAAGACGCGGGTTGCAATTTCTATGAAGTGGCGCAGATCAGTTCAATGCGGAATGGTAAACACTGATCTCGTTTGTGATCGGATGATGATTGGCCTGATCTACACGTTTACTGTCAGACCACAGCAGTGTGAAACGGTCTAATCAGACCGTTAAGCAATATAAGACAAGCTTGAGTTTAATTTGCCTGAAAAGTAATGATTCTCTTTTGATCGGTCTATGTGTCTGTGATTCCCGTGCTGATGCCCACTGCAAAACATGTCAGACAACAACCATCATCCAGAATCAAATTTTTCAAGGTACAATGCTTCATGTAACACTTTCCGCTTTGTCCAAGACGAGTGATGTTAATTAATTTAATTAAATTAATTTAGTAAGTTGATTAGTCTTCTGGTTTGCCCTTTTCGTGTTATGGTAGAATATGAAGTGTTTAACACATAACTATAGAACAGAAGGTTTAGGTTAAAGCTGACCGAAATTTTACAGCATTCACTTACTAAATTAACTCAACACATGGTGTTCACCAGCCATTTACATAGCACACGTAAACATTGACAAAGTAATTTCGTCGGACAATGGTCGGTTGAATGACTCATCATATGAATAAAACATTTTGTACGTGCTATACCGGCAAAACACTTAAGAGCCAGCCTAATCCCTTCTTTTGACATCTGATGGTCTTGTTTTGGCTTTTGCATGTCTGAAGGAGCTGGTGAGGTTATCCAGTCAAGGATTTCACCTCTTCCCCCCGCCTCTTTATATGCACACCACACTGTTAGCCCCTGGAGACTGCCTGCCAGAATACTGACTCACTGAAGGACATTTCCCATTGTCATTTCAACTCTTCTTCTTCTTGGCTTGCATCTCTGCTCTCATCATTCCATCCCTTCCCTCAGCATACTCCTCACTCATTTATTTCTCCTCTCTCCTCTTTCCGATCTTCTGTATTTTCCCTCTGCTCTCGCAGGGGCAATTCGAAAAGGGAGTGTTTGATTCAGTGGAGGTCGGGGGGTCACTCGCAACATAATCTCACTGCCTCTCGGGCTCTGCCATACACAAGCAAACACAAGAGCGCACTGCTTTCAAACTGTCTCCAGCAGGGGTGACCAACATGTGGTGCGCGAGCTGCCTCAATCCGGCTCTCAGATCATAAATGAAAGTAAAAGAAGCTCCATCGGTCTGAGTGGACGTGCATTCTTACAAGAGTGACACAACAGATTTATTTCAGCCTTCCAACAAATGACAGGAGTGTCGCTCCTGTCAGCGAAACAGCACAAATATTTGAAATAGCAAGAATGTATAGGTTGTAGAAGTTGATTCTATGAGATGTACCGTATGTCTGACTTATGTATAATGCGTGTGACTCTTACCTAGTCAAAACATTATGTGCGTGAGTCAATCAAGCTTTGGACACGACACCGCTGCTGATAGTGACACCGCTCCTTTTCAGCCCGAATGAACCTGTATTTTTAATTATGCAACACATCTACTACAAGTGACAATTTTTCGTAAGAGTACCTGGCTTGAAGGCAATGAGCCTCTTGATAAGTCTTAAGGACTCCTTTACTTCACTTAGCCTTGTAGTGCAGAGGATGAAGGTGACAGGGGTGAAAGATTCTATAAGACGAGGCTGACAATAGCTCAAGGTTACACAGCGTCACCGTTCATATCTATGACGACCGACTGAGGCCAACAGTGCCATGCGCATAAACTGTCTGCTGATATACACCAACACAACAACAGTCAAGGTCAAACTGTTTCAGGGCAACAGTTGACTTCCTGCTTTTGCGTATGTAGATTTTTTTTTTCTCCCAACGGGATATAATGGAAATAAACATGATCTGCTCCAGGGTTGGATTGTTGCCATCAGAAAACCATGACAGTAACCCTGCCGCGATGAGTGGAAATGTCGCGAGAGATTGATGCATCCTCAATGTTTATGATCATGTACAGTATGTAAATAGCTTTAACCGTAAATCTACAGCATGAATGATCATTTCAAAACACTTGGAAGTTTATTTTAAATTCATCTTACAACCTTACCTTTAAGAATAAATGCCTATCAGCAGAGCAAAAACACGCATGCGGCAAATACTCTTTGTAAGTTCTGCGAACAACCCAGGCTAAACTTAGCTCCTCGCGGGGTACAACAGTTTCAAACAGTCGAGATGTATTTGTCATACCTCCATGACGCCAATTACAACTATGAGCCAGGGCTTCGTCACCATCTTGGCACATCTTACCGCCTGGCAGAAACCCACACAAAGTTGTTGCGATTAAGCATAATTTTTAGTGACAAGTGAAGGATAGAATTCCACAGAGTTAAACAATTCACATTCGGAAATGTATTTTCCCATCAATGTATCCCGTTTCTAAAGCGCATGTCGTCACTTGGGTCACAGCTGATTTTGGCCAAGACGTCAGACACACACTTGTCTGGTCAATCGCATGACACAAAGAGCCAAAAAGATTCACACTCACATTCAAACTGAGAGTCTTAAATGCACCCAACGTGTACGTTTTAGGAATGGATAAGAAAGCTGAACCAAGCGGAGAAAACACAGGGAAGCACGAAGCGAAGACACGCAGTCCACACAGGACGAGATTCGAACCCAGAACCTCTCGACATTGTGTCAGACATGCTAACCACCATTCTCCAACACATTAACAATGACATTAAAAAACACACACAATGAATTGAGTGATTGATTGCTCAACACCCGCATACTCGATCAAGGCCATTTAGTCAAATGGCCTTGTGAGACCTGAACTCATCTAACTCCATAAAGTCGGTTTTGACTTGAAATTTTCTACTCCATTTGGCTTTAAATTTGTCTGGAAGTGCAAAGAAATTAATAATGTGACAAGAATGATACATAGAGATACGCGAGGTGTGCAGAAAATGCAAACAAATGGCCAATTACCTTTGAGAAATGACCACATCACATTGTCTCACGATCGTTGATCTGACTGGAAATTGCATTCAAAGTTTAAAATAAGCCGCGCACCGCACTGAAGAAATCAATGGGTGTCACGTCAATGGTGTATTACAAGTGCACAAGAGCAGTCAAGAAGGGGATTAACTGGGACCCCTTTTATTTTCAAACCTTCTGCTCATCGTTGGGTCTTTTGATCGGAAGTTGTCCTCTACGTTTGTCTTCTAATGACACCTGTCGGTGTTATTCGACAAAGACATAACCCCTTTGAGGCCAGCGTAATGACGAGTCTTGAACGCAAACAACAGGACAAGGACGTCTTTGTCTTTTCTATTTATCAAAGAAGAAAATAATACAAACAAGGGTTCTCTTTGTTTGTTTGTCTTAATTTGTTTGGTCAAATCTATCTCTCATGTCCAGCTCCTTTTTCTCCGCACTGTCGCCAGTCGTGTGACGTCATTAACAAGTAGTCCAACAAAGAAATATTCTAACGTGCATAAAACAATAATGACAAATATGTCAACTGGGTTATGAAATATGCCAATTCAACCTATCAAGACGACACGGAATATGGAACACGCCACCAAAATCAACCAATATTAGATTGGCACCTACAACAACTTACCGAAAAATAGTGCGACAACCGGGTCATGCCTGTGCCATTTCAACCGGATGTTTGTATGTTTGTGCGCCCACACGCATTTGCGAACCCTGTGGGATGTCAGCCTCGTGTCGCTTCAAGCTGCCAGCTGTTTGCCTACCTCCTACTTCAGAGACGCCACACCAGCCGGCAGCTTTTTAAAGCTGCACCTGCTGAGGCCATCGATTGATTCTCCCCAACTGCTCAATTGAGTGCCTGGCTGCTCCATCTATTAGTACTGTGTGCTGACCACGGGGAGGTACAAAAGAGGGGATGTTTACAAGGATGGGAAACAGGACAGCAATAGAGAATGGGAATAAATGCTCCTGAAGGATGACAAAAGACAGTTCAGGCTGCAATCGGTGCTATGCTAAGCGCTCCTTGTGTCACCTTGGGTGTTAGAGGAGGGCGGCCCTGATGAATGGGCCTCTGATTCTGCAAACATTGGCTCGCATTCTGCTCCACTTTAGTTGCTACAATATTTCCAGCTTGGGTTTCCTCTCTAGATACAGCAGAGGTTAAGCAGGGCGCAGGGTAGAGGCAAGAAACATCAGCTATGCGGTCTTGTGTATGTGTCAAATACAGAACTATCACCCATAACTATCACTACGCCTTTTAATACGGTGCACCATATGGTCGTGAAAATACGGTAATGTCATTCAATCGGCTGGATTGTGTGGGATGTAACTCACCAGGTGGACGCGGTACATGATGCTGATGCCGAGGGTCATAAAGGGCTTGGAGAAGTCAATGACCTTTTCACGCTCCGCTGTGATTGTGAGGCCAGCGACTGCCAAGTCAGCTTTCTGAAACACAGACAGTAAATAGTTCCATGTGATGCAGAGTCAAAAACCACCTGTGCCAATGTTTTTGTACTTACAGAGACTCGAGAGTCTTACAAAACAAATACTGCACATTTGGCAGCTTTGAGGGTGCTTAAAAAAGTAGGCCATGAACATATTCAGACATTTCATCAATGACATGTTTTACAATCAATCAATCAATCCATGAATGAAACAAGCACAACAAAGAGTCCAAACAGTGGCTAAATGAAGCCGTTTTGTATAATCCATCATTTGTGTTATTTGTGACACGATCCGTAAACGGACCAGATGGGAAGCGGATCCCACAAACATAGACTCAGGCAACGGTACAAAAAAAATATTTACAGAAAAAACGAAGGACTGACAAAGTGGAAACAGAAAGAGCTGGCAACACCAGAACCAGGAAAATCCCCCCCCCCCCCAAAAAAAAAAACCAGCACTTGCAAACGGCATGGTAATCTTGAATCCTGAAAATACACAAACCGAAATGGTAAGAGTCCAATTACACAAAACTTTAATCAGCCAATAATAACAAGAAATGCACAAAAGAACAAAACAAAAGAAGAAACTATCGAAGCAAGAGCGACTATAAACATGGACGTGTTTTTTCTCTTGAGCAAACAGCAAGCAATGTAATAATCTGACAAAGACTTGACAGTCCTTGAATACTTGACAAGACTTGATTGTGAACGAGAAACGGGTTCACCGCTGAGGCATGCCCTCCACTCCAGCTGGTGCCGAAAACAAAAACAAAGACAGAGCAGGACATGAGAATTTCTACTGAGGAGACCGACATTCACAGGGTGTTGGAACATCCCGTAATCTTGACAAATGACAAAATGTAGGACTTTGTCAGGGTTTGGCATCAACAGTATGGTATGGTGTTGTTCAGTTTGTGCTGATCCAAATTACAATTGCCTTGGTGATGGGATGTGCTGTTCAAGCAGCTGTGGTTGTGTAACTTTTGTATTGGCGCCTCTTAAGATTGTGCAGGTGTACCCAATCGAGTACGTAGCCTTGGTCTGAAAACCCACTTAGGCTGAAAGTTTGGAAAAGACATTTATATGGCAGATAAATAAGTGGTCGAAGCAGTGGCTGGTAAAACCTGGTAACAAAATGGCCAAGAAGAAAACAAGGCAGTAAAATGTAACTGCGAGGGCGTCTTCATCTCCCCGAGGGACACAAAGTGGAAAGGGGCAGCACGTCGGCCGCTGCGGGAGACTGAAGGGGATTGCGAAGAACGAGAGGTAGAATGAACAGGAAGGTAGGGGATGGGGGTGAACACGGGATCACTTTCAGATGCCACTGCAAATGCATGACCTGCTGTTCTTTGTTAGATTTGTTCCATAATTAATCAAACCTTTAGATCACATTTAGAAGACTGGCCTTTGAACCCTCACCTTCTGCTCAGTCTTTGCCTACATTACTGCACTACATTAACATCTCTCACCTACAGTGGATATTGAAAGTTTACACGCCCCTGTTCAAACGCCACCTTTTTGTCATTCAAAACAAGCTCAAAACAATTTAAATTGTGTAGGAACTTCACTACTAGAGGTCTGCCTATGTTCAGAATCAGCCAATTACATTCAAACTAATGGGAGTCAGCACACGACAGCTACCATTTGAAGCATCTCTGATTAACCCCAAATAAAGTTCAGATGTTCTAATATATGCTTTTCCTGACACTTTTGTTGTCACATCTTTCCGGACAAGCCATGGTCCGCACAGGGCTTCCACAGCATCAGAGGGATCTCAATGTTCAAAAGTATTACAGTAAGGAGAAGGCTACAAGATAATTTCCCAGGAATTAAATATACAATGAAACGCAGTTAAAAAAAATAAAAATAAAATAATAATAATAATATTAATAATAATAAATAAAATAAAATAAAATAAAAATGTGACATTACCAAAAAATGGATGTCCCTCTGAAAAGGATGCAAAAGCACAAAGGAGAAAGATGAGGGAGACTACCAAGACAGCAACACTGAAGAGTTGCAGGAATTACTGACAAGTACTGGTACTGTACTGGCTGTTAAACACAGATAACAACCACCTCCTGTCTTCTATACATGTCTGACCTATGGGGTAGGGTGACAAGACGGAAGACTGCATAAACCTTATTTGTGAGCTCGGTGCTCCCACACACGAGCACATTGCTTACGGTGGCCTATCCTGCTGCCTGACGCACCTCCAGGCTTTCACCCTTCATCATCAGCGAGACCAAACCTTTGCCTTGTTTTTCTTTCTTTTTTGAATTTTTATTTATTTATTTTTTTTAGAAACCTACAGTCGTTTGAAAGTCTGATCGGCTGCACCCAGTGCCGGAAGGAAGCCACACGCGGGAAGGAGCCACCGAGGCAATTTCTACAAAGGCAGATCCTTTGCAAGATGAACACGCAGCCGTAACAGCAGCTGAATTATTTATGTGACAATAGAATATTAATATTGATGACTGGATTTCTTTGCCTGCCTGCTGTTATGCCTTCTAGTGTTAGTCACTGGAAAAAAAAAAAGGCTGTGGTTCAGTTTCCTGTTACAGCTTTGTATCCAAGTAAAAGGGCTTCAAAAATATGTTAGGACGCAGTAAAAAAAAGTATGCTGATCTGGGCTGCCCCGGCATGTCTAATTGTTATTTTAGGTTGAGTGACAGCCTTCAAATTATTGCAATGAAATATTGTTCAAAAAGCAACAGCAGGTACACAGACGACTATTTTAACGGTTGTCCCAGGATGTCTACTGTCAATGCCACCCAGTGAGCTGACAATCACTGCACTTTGGTCTTCTATTTTTTGCTTTTCATCATCTTGTAAGCCTTTAACCAAACAGGATGAATTGTTTCATTCCACAGTGGAAACATCCCTCCAAAAGACCTTTAACCCGTGACAAATCTCACTGCTCTGTCATTTTGTCAGCCCCTCACAGACGAAGTTGCCGTTTGAAACACAAAAGACACGTTTCCAACGATCGAGTGGCGACACGTCAATGAATTCTACGAAGAAGAATGTGCTCTGCTCCCTACTGCTAGCACAATGCGCAACTGAGGCTGGAAACTCAGGGCAAGCATCATTTTTATCTGTATATCAACTTTTGACAAATCTATTCATCACCAAATTAATTTTGGTTATCTGAGTTGCGGGAGCAGCAGTCTTTGCAAGGGACGTCTGACTCCTCTGGACACAAGCCTTTGTTCCACAGGTGAGAAACCTGTCACGTTCCCCTGATAGGCCTCTTCCCCTTGTTTTAGCAGGGAGACGCCGTGGCCTTACCAGTGTGTTCTAGGTTCCTCCCGGGTGGACGTACTAGAAAAATTTGGTCTGAGAGGTGTCTAGGAGACAATAGATGCTAATGCTAGCACTACCACCTAAGGACTGATAATTAGCGGTTGGGTTGGAGTTAAGTGTGGGTTGCTGCAACATGAAATCTGGTTGTATTCATACATAAACGCAAAAAAAAAAAAAAAAAAGTGAACTCTACCAAACTAAAATACAGTGGAACCTAGGTTTACAGACGACCCGCTTTACAAACAGTTGAGTTTAAAGCAACACACGTGATACACTATTTTCGGTTTACGAACAGTCTTGTCATGGCCATGGAAGGTTCAGAACTTTGTGGTTTTTCTCACATTGCATACATATAATTGGCTCTTTGCCTGAGGTATGTTTGTTTCTTAGCATAAAAATGACTGCTTTGTGGGTGGTGGTGGTGACCTTCTGGGGCTAGCAGTAGCCTGTTGAGAAACAGGTGCACCGCTGAAGAACAGATTGAAATTCAATTCATAACTCGAGGTTACACTGTATTTCTAAATTGGACTATATTGACTTTAACCGAACACAGATTTAAAAAGCAAAGTATACGTTTTGGGGCTGGAACGGATCAATTGTATTCTCATTCATTTCAATGGGAAACAGAACTCTTGGTTTACAAACGTTTTGGGTTACAAACGAATTACATTCTCAACCCGAGGTTCCACTGCATACTGCTTTGTAGAAAACAGTACAGTCGACCTTAACCGAAGGTGAATCTCGCAGAGACGCTGATAAAAATAACAAGAACAGGAGCGCCTTACTTTGCATACGCAATGACTTCCATTAGTATTACGCCAAACATCCAAGTTTCATCTCCGTAACACCACCTCCAAGTCCCCTTTGAAGTTTGTCCTCACCCTCTCTCCTACTTTTTGCTCCCCTATCTCAACTTGAATGTCTTTTAGTTCATGTTTCCACTGAGCTGTACAGTTCAGTATCTTCTTGGCATGTGGATGTTTATGACAAGATCTTTTGTTTTATTAAAAGGAGAGTTTTGTGTTCTACTCATCCCATTTCTTATAACGTACGAAAGCGAAGACGATCGTTGACAAAGAATAGCACAACCGCCGCTTCCCTGAAAGTGGCTGCCAAAACGTTGCACAGTGTGGACCGGCTGCTTTCGTACACATCAGAACTTTACGTGACAAAGCAGTTGGCATTTTCTTTGTCTAAGTGTACTCTTTTAATGGGACTTCAAGTCTTCAGACCTCCCGGAGAGGTTCAAAGAAAAACAACACTTGTCATTCAGAGGGAAATGTCTGGAAATGCCGGAAAAGACCATTTGTGAGTTGACATTTTTAATTCTTCTCAATGTCAAATCTAAACTAATATACACCACAGGGCATATGATAGGGAAAAAAGTTTCAATAGTCAAAAAAAATCTGTACCATTTAATAAGACTCCAGTGAGAAACTAAGAAGTATGATCATGTAAAGTACTTTTTTTCCCCTTTTAAGTGTTTGAATGCGAGTCCCTTGAGAATACGACTCACATGCGTGGTATCATCGCTATGTATATCTGATGAGACAAACATGTTCATTTAAGCTCAGAGGACATATTTACATACCCTTGAAATGAGCTCTCCGACCATCCCGCTCCATGTTCCATTGGCTCCGGGGACTCCATACAGTCCATCCCCCACCAGTCGGATACGATACTTGAACTTGAGTATGGCTGCCAGCTCCTTCAGCATGTCCACACAAAAGCCTTCGTAGCGCTCATTTCCTTCCAGGTCATGGTGATCTGTCCGCAGCATCACGTATGGATTCTCCTGAATTAGAAAGCATTTCCATTATTGAAAAATAATGCATAAAAAAAACAACCAAAAAAACAAAAAAAAACCAATCCAAATAAAAAAAAAATACATTAAAAAATACACATTTGCATATTAAATCACAATTGTAATATTAAGCCTGAGCAAAGAAAACTGTAGTGCAAATTATATCATTGAAAAACACATTGGATTGGATTGGATTGATGGCAGTTCCATTCATTTCAATGTGAAAGGTGGATTTGAGATGTGAATGTTTTGCTTTAAAAATTGTGCTCCCAAATTAAGGTACTACTTGCATTTGAAATGAAACAGTAAAGGAATAAAAAAACAAAAACAATTACCGGTGTTCACAACAGCTCACAGCTCAGTGTCTTGCTGAGCGATATCTGAAAAAGTAGGTTGCGTACAATCACCATTATTGTACTGTTTTTACTCAACTTTTTCATGAGAAGAACGCAGACCTGAGACTTATTCCAAGGTATATTTATCTAAAATTGTTCCAAAACCGGGCGACCCGGTGATCGAGTGGTTAGCGCGTCGACACCACAGTGCAGAGGTACCGGGTTCGATTCCAGCTCCGTCCTCCCTGTGTGGAGTTTGCATGTTCTCCCCGTGCCTATGTGGGTTTTCTCCAGGTGCTCCGGTTTTGATGAATTATTGTGTGTGTGTGTGTGTGTGTGTGTGTGTGTGTGTGTGTGTGTGTGTGTGTGTGTGTGTGTGTGTTGTGTAGTAAGTGCTTATGGTGTATGAATGTTGTTTTTAAAAGCAAATTATATGTGGAAGCAGTTGGATTTGCATACCAAGGGGCCATTTTACAGCAATTCATGATCAACTCTGCTTGGATGATGTCTGTCTGTTTCCACCAACATGTAATTATGTGGCAAAACATGATTTACTTTTCATGCCTGATGTTATTTGTGCCTGTGAAAAAGAATATCATCATTTGTAGCTTTCTCTATTGCTCTTGTCGATTAAGCTTTTCCATATCGACTCTCTTAAGTCAAAACATCAAAGATGGCAGGAAGAGGAATCAATCAGAGGGAGCCTCCGTCTTTCATTTCCGTGTGCTGATGAGTTGGGCTGAGTGTTGTCACACCTGTTTTTTTCCCCCGCCCCCTCCGTTTGCAATCTCCTCCTAATCCAAAGAATCCGTTTTTCCTCTAAAGACCTCAGACACAATCACTTTGATTCTAATACTCTCTGAAGTCAAATCGAGAAGCACTTTTAAAAGTCTTTGGTGAAACAATTTGTCCGGGGGAGGGTGGTCAATGTCCAATTGGTTTGGATTTAGAAACCTTTGTCTTTAACAAAGGAAATAATGGAAATGTAAATAATCGGCTACATGGTCAATCTGGGGCCATTGCAAAATCTTTATTCATTACGATAACATTTGTTGAATCGCTGGCTCTTTTTCTGTGATTTTTGTCTCCATGTGTTGCCGCATGTGTATTTGTGTTCAAATATCTGTTGCTTAATACACAATAATATCAGCACATAGATGCTATCTGTTCGCCCGTCTATTTAGTTCACTCTTTCATGCACCCTGCAACCTGATAACATGATTAGCTGTCCACTGTAGTAACCGCTGTCCCTGAAAGGGTTAAAATTCAACCGGGTGTGGCGTTCAACAGTTTAAAGTCGCTTTGTTGAAGAATTGTTCACTCTCTGCCAAACTGCTGCTTGGCGTGACGTGAGTTGCCTTGGCTAGCATCTTATAGCGAAGTTAGCGAAGAGAATCAGCCGAATGGCGTCTCATATTTTCAAAAACACTCAAGACGGGTCACTTGCATCTCAAGGCACAATAGTACCTTTTCTATTTATTTGTGAGACAGACCCGCAGGCAATAGGACATGTGTGACATAGCGTAAGTGCTGTATCGGATTACAAGCTGAAGCCAGAGGGAACGGAAAATAGCAGAATGCATACAAGTTCAGCCTTTTTACGGCGAGACAAGCTATTGCATTTCAGAAAAGAGATAAAGCGCAATAAAACACAACATATAAAGAGAATTTTATCTCGCAGAAGCAAATTGGCTTTTTCCATCGCATGGCTGTGGTTACCGAGGTAATAAACACCACAAATTCACTCCAGTGTAAAAATGAGATCAATGAATACCAACACATGACCCGGTGGGCCTGCGGGGAAGCCATCATCAATTCTGTAACTGTGACAGCAATCATGTAATGAAGCCACCGTGTACAGGCTGCGGAACGGCGTCAAGAATGACTTGAAGTGCTAATTCAAGAGCTCACAAACATTCTCTCAGGTGCGAATTTTTTTCAGCTGTTGCTCAAAAGCAAGAGAAGAGCGACGCAGTAATCATTTCATGATGGATAAGCTGTGATAGCCCCTGAAAATTGCCCAGCAGTGGATTCCAAAGTTTGGTCAAGGGACTCTCTATCTCCAAAATGAAATTGAGTCGCAGGGATCAACCAATTCATTCTTTTCACACCCACTTCCTGTTGTGAAAGAACCGTTTCATTTTTTTCCCCCTCCGGCACTTAAATCGTCACCCACAGCCCCTATCCAGGGTGAAATGGAAGGTTCAAAATAAAGTATGTCTGTGTTCTTTCCCTCATTTCAATGGCACTGCAGCTGCATCATACTGACCGTTTCTAAAATATGTTAACAGTATGTTAGTTATAGTTCGGTTTAAGCAGTGAAATAACTTGAATTTGTCATCGGAATAAACTAGAGTTGATAGAGGTGCACCGATCAATCGGCTCGGATCGGAATTGGCATTGATTTTCTTAATTTCGGGGGTGGGGGGGGGGGGATCAGTGATTGGCCAAACCCTTAAAATAAAGCCGATCTTGTCCACCAATCTCATCTCCCTCTGCAGAGGTCTAAAAACAAGCCTGGCACTGTCCTCTTCCGGACAAAAATCTGGTTCGTGAAATGAAATTGTGGTTTCTGTGTGCCGGCCGCAAAATATCAGACTGCTGTGCTAATGCATTAGCATGATGTGCGTCGTCCAACTTACGAGTATTGTAGTGATGGTAAGAGTTGTGTTGAAGAGGGTGTCCGTCAGGTTGACGGATGGGAGCTTCTTCTCCATAGACAGTCCATCTTCGGAGTGCCACAGGCCGATCTGCACACACACAACAAACACACGATCGGTCATTATGTCTAGCGGCCGGAAAAGGCCATTCCTATCATTTGCGTCCGTTCTCTCAGGATGAGGAAAACCGTGACCTTCGCAAGACAGTGGAGGACGTACAAACAATGACAGAAAAGGCTTTTGCTTTTGTGAAGCAAAAAGAAAAAAGAAAAAAAGGCAATTAAAAGACTTCGGGTGATTGCTGAAGGAGGTGAAAAAGATGGATTTGTGATTCTTCGAGGAGCAAATAAACACAAGGCATGTGTTCAATCGGCAGCGGCATAATGCATTCATTGAACCAATTAGCAGCATTTCCTGTGGCAGAGAGCCTCATTCTCATTTTTTATTAGTGTGGATTTGCTAGTCCGGCATCACAAGGACATTTTTCTTAACCCCACAAACCGAGAAAGAATTCACGATGGAATAAACAACTGCTTGGAAAATGTCAGGCAGAAACTTATCGTGTGTTTTGAATGAATGCTCTGATTTTCACAGCTATTAAGAGCCAATAAGATCAACCAATATGAGCCAATATGAATGAAACCGAGAAAACTTTATTTCCTAGTCCTAGTAGTTTTATTTCAAGAAACGAAAAGGTTCTTGTGGCCCGTCGTCGATGCTCCAACTGCAAACCAAGACCTCTGGAAAATTGTACAAATCAGGTGCAATCCGGTGTCAAGTCTATTTGTATCGCCAAAGTCTCAAAGGGCTTTACAAGCCCACAGTTGACACATATTGGCAACATTCTATGCTCTAAAAAGTGTCAAGTCAGCTAAACCATTAGCTAGTTCGAGCACAACCGTAACCGCTAGCGTGATATGGACTCCATAGCCACTTGAATTACCGCCAGTCACTTCCTTAATTTCACACTTTGGAACAAAAACCGTTGAGCTGAAGGCGCCTCTTGCCATGTGACAGTCCATGGTAAGCTTCATCATTGATTCTGGGTGCTCAGTTGTGGTAGGAAGATAGGTTAGAATCAAAAGGGAGAGAGTGTGAGAACAGCTATTGACTTTTTGAAGATGGCATGGAACATAAAGTAGTTGTCTTCGTCACGAAAACGTTTGCAGTCAAAATTCCATTTGGTAAATTCAGTCTAAGTGCATATCACATACGTCACTTATACAGAGAGGCTGAAAATCATATGGGTGAGAATTAAAGATAAAGAAGAGGAAAACATACTGGTATGCTGTCGTGGTTTTTCAGAAAATTTCGAGGACGAGAGTCACAAAGATGTATTACAAACCCAAACTACAAAAAAAAATTACAAGTTTTCCCCTTTAAGGTTGGCCAGAAGATCAACATTTGAAGTTTCGGTCGGTGTAAAGGAAGAAACTGGAGTTGACCGTGACAACACGCCTTTTCACATTGAGCATCTGACGGCTCCTCTGACAGTAACTCGTGAAATGAATATGGATAAAAATGTTGAGGAAAGAAAGTCAAGTGAAAAAAGAAAAGTCTTTTTTCATGCAAAATGATCATTTGCTGAGTTTATCAATTTGAATTTCCATGCATTTCAATGAAGCCCCGTTCTGATAAAACAGTAGTTCATCTCGAAGGAGTTTGCCAGAGTGCCACTCATGTCCCACTGTGGAGAAATGTAAAAAAAAAAAATTTTAAAAAGTCCACTTCTTGGCTACCATCGAGGTGCACCATTTTCACACTGAGATCTCTCCTTGCATGCCATGCATGTATGTGATCTGATTCTCTGTGTGGTGTGCAACACAGATGTGCAGCAGAGTGTGAGTTTTTAATTTCCCCTTGAGGGATTTTAACAACAAGGATATGAAATTATAACAAAAGAAAAATGGCATTATCCACACTAAAATCTCCTGGAGTTTTCACAGTTATTATTATTATTATAACTTTAGAACTGTCAAAATATGTAACAGTCTATCAAATGTTTGCTTGTGAGTTAGTTTTTTGATTAAACATATAAACAGAGAACAAAAATTAGGCAGGAATTAAAGAGAAGTTAAAAAAAAAAGCCTGAAAAGAAAAAGACTAAAAGTTGTCATTCAGCACAATTTACCGGTTCAAAGGAAGTAGGAAGAAGTAAAAAGCTTACCTTGTCCTTGTTCGTTGTGAATTTTAACTTGTTTGGTATTAGAATAAGAATTGATCATTCGTTTAGAGGTATTACAGCCCATCCTGTTTTTTTCTCTTTTGAACACCTTGGTGAGATATTTCTTTGACCTTGAAGCATGTCAGTTACTCCTGCAAATTCTGAGATTATTAAATCTTCCCAAACATTAGATTAGATCAAAAGATGACCCTAAAAATAAAAAGTGATTGCACAGCTGGTATGGATAAAAAAAAAAAAAAAAAAAAAAAAAATAAGATAATTTCCTGGGCTTCCCAAATGTTATGCACCACATGCAAAAACACAAGTGATGAACACCGGATAACATACAAAACAAACTTGATATTCGTTTTGAATTGAGTGCTTTTTTTCACGCAGAATGCGACCAAAGGCCACACAAACTAGAAAAGGGACAAACTTCCATTAAATATTCATAGAGCGCTCGGCGACAAAATGTGCTTGTCATTGAAATACATTACCTCAACTTTTCTAATCATCTACGTTCAAAGTCGGTGATCCAACACATAAAAGAAAATTTCTGGTTTAGAAATACTTTGATATTATGCCATTTATCACAGGATCAGCCTTGCCTCTGTTATGAATGTTGCATACGAAGAGCAAATGATTGCTTCTAATTCAGCCCTGATGCATTGTGTCACTCGGTGGAATTCATACAAGTGCCTGGAAATCGTACTTTGCGAATTTGTTTGAATCTGACTTGAGCGGAGAATAGAATAAACTACAATAAACAGAGCAGGCTGAGCATGGTCAGAAATGTGGAGATACACTACATTCATGTTGATCAGAAAGTTTCGACAAATAGGAAGGTGGTTCAATCGTATCGCTGAGTTGTGATGCAAAAAGAGAAAAGAAAGTTTCTGAAAACATTAAAATTCAGTCTGCTGAGCACAAGTCATGTCTTTTTAGCAGAGGTACCCAAGACCACCCATCCATTTTCCGTTATGCTTATCCTCACAAGGGTCGCAGTGGGTGCTGGAGCCTCTCCCAGCCGTCTTCAGGCACTAGGCGGGGGACACCTTGAACCGGTTGCCAGCCAATGGCAGGGCACACAGAAACTAACAATCATCCACGCTCACACTCACACCTAGGGACAATTTCGAGTGTTCAATCAGCTTTGGAATGTGGGAGGAAACCGGAGTACCCGGAGAAAACCCATGCAGGCCTGGGGAGAACATGCAAACTCCACACATTGGGGCCGGATCTGGAATTGAACCCGGTACCTCTGTACTGTGAGGCCTACGCGCTAACCACTGGACCGCCGGTACCCAAGACGTCATTTTGTAATATTTTCAGAAAACAAGAATAAACACAACAAAATCAAGAAGCAAGAGTCTAGTGATCGGGGACGGAACTGTCACCGGAGTCACTTGGCAGAAGCGGGGTGTTGTCAATGTGACCCATTATTTATTTATTCATTTATTTTCATTCCCAGAAAATGTTGCATCCAGATTGAGGTTGCGTTAAGAGATTTCCGTAACAAAATATCGGACAATCCGGAAAAGTTGGCAGCGCTGCTACTAGTAACATAAGCAACACATCTCCTCTCTGATCTACAGGACTTCTGGTCATCATTTCTAATTGGGACGATTCTACAACTTTGACCAAAATGAACCAGCGTTCCTTTTACTGTGGTGGACTAGCTGGAGGAGTCCGTACCTCGCTCACACAATTAGACAACAGCGACCCAACTGAGCCCTTCAAACTGTGATGTGGTGAGGAATGAAGAAGAAAGGGACCAACGTAGGTGATGTTCCAACAGTCGGCATGCACAATCACTTCTTGGAGCATGCGGAGGTGGCTTGGCTGATCTCAGTGGGAGTCTGCAGAGGTCTGAGTGTTTGGGTGTGACTGAGAGTATAATGGCGCGGGGTGTCACGGTGACTCGTACGGGAACAGAAGGAAGATGAAGGAGCTGCGAGCAGGAAGAAGAGGCAAGGCATATACGATACGAGAGAAGGAAATGGCCCTTAGGTGGCCCTGCCATCAACTCTCTTTGGGCCAGTCGGGGGAAGCACAGCGGTACCGTCGGTGAGTCAGTGCGACTCGCAGGAAGGAAAAGTGTGCGCGTCAGCTTGCATAAGCAAGAACGCACGCTGGGGAGCAAATACGTGCCAAGGAAAAAAATGTTGTAGAGTCTTTGTAAAACTTCACAACGCTTACTTTCACATAGACAGAAACAAACCACTAGTGTGACATAATTGACACCAATTACTGTGAAAAAGGCCAATTCACCACTTCAGTTAAGTACATAACTTTTCGGTGAAACAAATCAGCGAAAGCCAGAGGGTCTTTCAATCTAATTTTGAAATCCAAAATGAAAGAACATTGTATTTACAAGGGCTGTGCCCGAATGGGTGATGACTCAAATTGAGTATTGAATTGCTCAGTGAAAACAAACGCAGAATCAGAATTTTCCCATTTGAGTTAGAACGCGCCACAGCATATTGTCGTCAGAGACGAATGTTTGGATGGCCCTTAGGTCTCCGTATGTGTGACGTTTGTATGTATGTTGTATTCGAGCGGATGCTTGGGTGCTTATGAGGGTATTTGGCCGGCTAACGCCTTGCTATTAGCTGGCTAACGGCATCCTAGCAACGGAAATATTTGGCCGGCTAATGCCTCGCTGTTGGACAGCTAACGGCTCGCTAGCAGCAAACTACGAGGCATTTGCAAAATTGGACGCTGGACCTGACTGACGAACTAGCTTAATGCTAGCTAAGGTGAGGCTAGTTCAAACGTACTCTCGATGGATTTTAAAATGGGGCAGAAGAGGAAACCATTAATTTATGCTGCCATTGGTGAGTGTATGGTGCTACGGTTAGTTGTTTTAAACAAAAAAAGGTGAACCTTTCTCAGCAGCAACACATGAACACATTCAGACTCCTCT